ACACACCTGTCCAGGTGCACCAGAGACCGTTCAGTGGGGTGCCTGGGCTGCGGGACCTCCAGAACCACCCACAAGGCAAAAGCAAACAGAGCTGTTTGCCCAGGGCCTGCCACCTGCGCTGCTCGAGGTCCCAGCCCTGCCCTGAGCCTGCATAGGGTGTCAGGGAACCCCGGGGGGGCACTCACGCCACAGCCTCCGGCCTCAGGGATTGGGGCTTCTCAGAATGCCCACAATCACGTGGTTGTGAGCCCAGAGTGCCACGGCAGCCAGAGCGGGGTAGGGTGGGAGTGGGGTGGGGGTGGTGCAGGGTGGGTGCAGGTGGGATTCCTTCGTGCAGGGCCGCCTGCGTGTCCTGGAGCCTAAAAGGGCTCCAAGAGGGGAGAGGATGCTGAATCCCCTAAAGCCTGGGCAAGAGGTGAGGGCAAGAGGTGAGAGGAGGCTCTGGAGGTGAGCCTGCCGCCACCTTCCCAGTCACCGCCAGCGGGGCACCTGCTGCCACGTCTCTGAGCACATCCCCGGGCCAGAGTGTGGGAGAACAACCAGCCCTCAGGCCAGGGGAGGGAGCCAGGGAGTGACCCCACCTGCCACCTGGGCCCCGAGGCGCCTCCCTGCCAAGCTGCCCCCTACCCTCCTCCAGCCTGATGCTTGGCTCTGCAGCATCCTGGAAGGGAGGTATTGAGTCTTCCCTGTTTCCCCACCCACACAGGTCACGGGGCCCTCTGCAGACTATAAGCGGAGGCACAGCGCACACGCTACCCGGCCATGGGCAGAGCACAGATCCTGGGACAAGAGTGACAGTGCCATGCCTGGGGGCTCATCCACGAATACAGGTGCCTCCTGAGAAGTCCCTGGAGCTCCTGTCTCTGCATTAGACCCACACACGCCACTGGCCAGGTGGCAGGTCTGCGAGCTGGCTCAGAGCCGCCATCATCAAAACCTAGGACCCCTTCTTGGCCTCACCCAGGATGCCGCCCCCCGTCCCCCGTCACACCCAGAACCCCCCCGATGGACAAGAGAAGGCACTTGCTGAAAGCCAGAGGACTGGGGCTGGGCAGTCACCAACTCACCCCCAAAGGTGCTGGGGGTCTCCGTTTCTCATCTGTGAAATGGGCAAACCGTCCCGTTCCTCAAGGGGTGAGGACAGCAGTGGGGCAGGGGATGGCCGCTGCTAGTGTCCACCGTATTCAGGCAACACCCGAGGTCTTTCCAGTAATGAGCTGGTCCAGGCCTCTGGGGAGGTGGCAACTTCCGGGCTTGTCCCTCCCCCCTTTGGCACCCCAGGCTCCATTTTAACGGGTATAATTTTTAATTCGTTTTCTCCTCCCCTGGCTAAAAGGCCATTAGCTCCCCATTAGGTGGACACATCCCATTTTCTTCACACCACCAAGGAAACAGCGATTTACTTAGCCATCCCTGAAGCAATTTTGCAGAATAAAGGCAATTTAGCAAAGGGCTGGATAAACTTCCCCATTTGTTCTTCGCTCACCTGCAAGCTCCACCCTTAGGAGCCCATCAGCAGGCACAGCCCCTCTGTTTCTGGGTAGTCTGGACCCTGCAGGGATAGGGGGTAGGGGGGGTGGCGTGGAGTGGGCAGCCAATGAAGGAAACGGAGGGCATCCAGAGGCCAAGGCTGGCTGAAGGGAAAGCAGGTGGGCCCAGGTGGCCTGTGATCCTGAACCATTGTTACTGGCGGGGCCCTAAGGAGTAGGAAAGAGGTGGGCAGAGTTGCTGTACACCCTCGAGCCTCACCTACAGTGCCCACTACTGCCCAGAGCAGTCTGTCAGACCAGAGCAAGTTTCCCTTCTTTGGTGCCCAGGGAGAAGTTCCTGGCATTTGTGGGCAGAGGGCAAGACTTTCCGTCAGGCCAGGGAAGCTGAGCAAAACGGGACCTAAGAAACCAGGTTAGTCTCAGTATCTGTATTACAAACCATAATGTCCCAAAGTAGACAAAGTGTGGGGGAAATTGTCTGCCATAGAGGTGGGGGAGGGCTGGAATGGGGAGATACTAGGGACATTGGTGGTGGAAAATGTGCCCTGGTGGAGGGATGGGTGTTCGATCATTGTATGACTGAAACTCAAACATAAAAGCTTTGTAACTGTATCTCATGGTGATCCATGAAAAAAATAAAAGAAAAAAAGAAACCAGGCTAGGAAGATGAGAGCAATGGTGGGGGTGGGGGTGTGTGTGGGAGCTGTAGGTGGCTGGGATGATCGTGCCGAAGGAGGGGCTGGCCTGGCATAGCGGGAGGAGCCCCAGAAGCAGGGACTCTCTTCTTCCCTGCCACGGCTGGAACCTGCACTGGCCAGCGAACTGCCGGATTCTCTCCCCGGAGGAGCAGCTTCTAGGGACTCCTAGGGCTCAGGGCTCTTGGTCCAGCCCCCTCTTCACCCCAGGGGTAGGAGGTTACCTTGAGGGTAGGGAGTGAGGGTAGGCACCACGCGCGCGCGTATGTGTGTGTGTGTGTGTGTGTGTGTGTACGTGGGGCTCCTGTGTGTCAAGAGGGGCTGGCTTTGGATATAGGTGGCATGCGAGAGGCCACACCAGGTGGAGGGAATGTGTCCCCAATTCATGAATGTGAACCCTTGAGCAAGGGCACTAGCTGGTGTGTGTGTGTGTGTGTGTGCCCACAAATGGTAGGGTGTGGGTGAAAGCTTCCTGCTGTGTGCAGGGGATCTGGGTGTGGGCTGACACCTCTTGTGAAGGCATACACATGGCACACAATGACTGCATGGACATGTACAGGGCACAGGCTGGGGGGATCTGCTTCTCCCCATAGCCTTGCTGGGATGTGTGTGACAGGTGGGAGTGTTTGTGTGTGAGTGTGTGTGAGTGTGTGTGGGGGGGCGGGGGCGGGGAGGGGAGAGGGCGGGTATCCTGGACCTGAGTGCTCTGGGAGATGCACAGTGCCTGTGCCTTCACTCAGTTCCAGCCTCTGTCTCTTCGTGGGGGGCGCCTCCTCACACCCCTTCAGAGACCCAACACGGAAAAGAGTGCCCTGCCCAGGGGAGGTGCGGGGCTGGGCAAAAGATCACCAACCTCTAGAGACCAAGCCCCACCCCCCTCCAAAAAAAAAGCCCACCCATGCAGTCCACTGGAATCCAGCACCCAGCAGAGGGCGCCCCGAGGCCAGGCCGCGCCCCTCTCAGGCGGTGGGGAGAGGCGGTGGGCGACGGCTCAAGGATGGGAACTCGCCAGAGGAAGACTGAGCAGCTCCGGGATGGCTGCTCCTGCTTTCACAGGGCCATTCCTCCACAACCAGTGCCAGTCGGCATGGGCATCCAGGGCAGGGGCCTGCAGGCTGGGGGCTCCCTTTCCCGGGATTGGTTGTCTTTTCCCTCTTGGCCAAAGACCTCTTTGGCCCCCCCCCAACTCCATGGGGCTGGGGTGTAGAAAAGCCAGCGGCGCCCATGCTGATTGTGAAGGCTGGCTCCCGAAGCCCAGTCCCCATGGGCGCCCCAGCCAAGCAAGGGCACAGGGAAACAAAAATCCTCTGCAGGACGGCTGCCACGGAGGAGGGGAGCCAGCACACACCACCTACCCCAGGTCTCCTGCTCACACCTGATTCCATACCCCTAGCCACAAAGTTGCAACCCCGAGTTATTAGCAGCTTCAGAACATCTTGTTTGTTTTGACTTCCGCCTGCCGCCTTCACCTCCTGCCCGGCTTCCCAGCCTTTGTTAATCCAGAATCTCTCCACTCGGGAGGAAAGAGGCTTCTCCGCCCTGCCTGGTCTGGGACTGGGTGTGTTTGTGTGGGGGGAGGGGCATTACGGCTTTCGACCCCAGGTCCAAATACACAAAGCCTTGGGCAGGCCTGCAAACCCGGAGTTCTGTGCAGGACCCCCGTATAGAGGCAGGAGACCCGCGACTACCGCTCTCTGGGTTCCCAAGGCCAGCGGGAAAGGCCGGCCTTTGTAAGCCGTGGGGGAAGGGGGCCGGGCTCCTATCTAGGAGGGAAACAGAACGGGCATCGGTCCTGGCCAGCGGGACCAGTCGGGGCGGGCAAGAACCGGCCATCAAAAGCATCGTGGCCATGAGGGTTCAAGATCCCAGTCCCCGGGTCACCCTGGTAGGGTTTTGGGCGCTGGGCCGTGACCCGCCTGTGCAAAAAGCCACATCCAATGCACAGCCACATCCGATGCCAAGCCACATCCAATGCGGGCTGCACCAGCTGGGCGGCTTCCAGCAGCCCCAACCGACGGCGGAGGCGCACCGCTTTACTCCACTCCAAGTGCTCATAACGGGGGGGGGCGGCTAGCGTGTCCTGGGGTCCCAATGGCCGCGCTTTCAGTGCCCGTGACCGACAGGCGAGCCTGCAGCGCTCCTGGACGGGCGCGGATCCCCGGGCCCTCAGCCGGCCGCGCTGGGCTGGAGCGAGCGGCGGTCTTCGGGGAAACCGCTCCAGCAGCCAGTCCTGCGATCCGGTATTTTAAAGACCAGGGCGGCAACCGCAGCGCAGAGGAGAACCCCGCCTGGTTCTAAAGGAGCGGCGCCCCCTCCGCACCCAGCGACCCGGCAGGCGAGCAACCGGCCGGAGAATAGCTCCGACGTGGAGCACCGGGAGACACCGCAAACGAGCGATCCGGTCAGCCACAGAAGTCCCCGCAAGTCACAGGCTTGGTTGGGCGACCTCGCCCGGCCTCCCCACCTGTGCCGAAACGGCCACCACCGGGTCCCCCGCGGCTCGCTCCCAGATGCGGGGCGCGACCGGGTGGATGCGCTCTCCGGACCGGGCACCGACGCCGGGGCGGGCGCCAAGGCCGACCGCTCGGCGTCCCGCTCCAGCCCGAGACCCACCTACCCACCCACCCACCCACCCACCTGCCCGGACCCCGGGGCTCCCTGCCCGCCGCGCCACGCCACCTCGTTCGCCCCTGGTCGAACACGCGCGCCTGGCCCCTCTGCAGCCCGCCGGCCGCCTCCGGCAAGAGGATGTTCCCGAAGGCGTCCGCTGGGCCGCGGGGTGCGCGGTGCCAACTTCGCCGCCGGCAGGACTCACCTTCCCCAAGCAGCTGCAGCAGCAGCAGCAGGAACCGCAGCCCCGCGGCGCCGGCCGTCGCCTTCGCCATCGCCGTGCGTGCCGGGGCCGCAGCCGGAGGGACGGTGGCTCGGGCGCTCGGGTCTCGGCGGCGGGGTTGGGCGCTCAGCCGGGCACCCCCATGTCTTCCCGGGACGCGGCGGGCACTGCGTGCGCAGAGCGTCGGGGCTCCGACTCCGGGACACTCCCAGCCGCTGCGCGCCGGGCGCCGGTCGCGGGACTGAGGCGGGGCGCGCGCGGGCGGCGCGGGAGGTGCAGGGGCGGGGCGTGCCGGGGGCGTGCCGGGGGCGTGGCGGGCGGGGCCGGGGTGCGGGCGGGTGCGGGGTGCGGGGTGCGGGGTCGGGCTGGGGGATAACGGCTCCGAAGGTGTGTGGGAGCACCGGGTAGAATTCCGCGGCGGGACCGCGCGGGCGGGTGACCCGCAGGCAGCGAGGTGCGGGCGCAGGGTGCGGGATGCCACCCGCAGCCCCAGGGCGCGCACCGCGGCGCCTCCCGCCACTCTTCCACGGCCCGCTCGTCCCGCGCGTGTCTCCGCACTTCACTCTTCCCCGATGTCCCGAGTGAGCGAGAAACCGGCGCGGAGGTGCCGTGCGGGGTCCGGCAGCGGGTGCGCCCGAGCGGACGTGGAGACCCGGCGGGCGCCCCGCCTCCAGGCTCCGGGCACCGAGCGCATCCTCCGCCATGTCTCGGCGGAGGCGGGGGAGGCGCGCTGGGAGCGTAGCCAAGGGGGTCGCGAGCGCTTCGTGCGCACACCTTAGGCGAGCCTGGGTAGTGGCTCACCACGTCCGCGGTCTCGCTCGGGGAGAGGGCAGGGGTCGCTTTGGAATAGTTTGTCATCTCTCCTCTATTCAAAAGGATGAGAGCTGGGAAACTGCCTCAGGAACCACCTTTTGAGCCTCCACAGGGTGCTTGTAGGTGGGACCGAGTGGGAGAGCAGCGAACAGCAGGGAGGAGCTGGAGCTGGAAAGAGCGTAAATCTTGTCCCTAAACAGGTGCCCTCCTGAAAGCGGGAAGCCTCTGGACCCCTAATATAGCAGGCGGGGTGCTGGGCTTGTGCAAGGAACGGGACCATTCTTCTTCCACCCAGCACTGCGGCTGAAGGGCTGGCCCTCAGCTAGCGGCAGGGAATGGAGCCCCGGAGCCCGCTCGCCAGCACCCGCTTGTCCTGTGCAGAGCCCCGCCCTCGTTGGGGCTGAGCATGGGCTGGATAAGCGATGGGCACATCGTTCTGCAGATATGAAGTCAAAGTGAAGTCACCCTCCCGGACAGGAGGAGGAGCTGCCAAGACAGAGGCAGGCTGGGGCCTGTGCCAGCCAGGATGGCCAGAGCCGGCCTGCTGGCAGGAGGCCAGAGCTGAGCCTGCCAGCTCAGGAGAGCCACCCTGCGGTCATCAGACCTTGTGCCTTGCCTGCACACCCCAGGGCCCAGAGACTCGACTCCAGCTTTAGGAGGCTGGAGTTGGGGAGGGGTTCTCCCTAGGAACTGGCAGGGCAGCCTGAGATTGTGCTTTAGGCTATGTTCAGGGAGAGGTGAGTAGGAAGGTGGGGGTGGGCTTTATTGCCAATGTATCCTGGTGCATTCATTACTAAGAGACCTTGTGGCTACCACCCCAGAGTATGCAGAAAGACGGGGGAGTGACCTGGTCCACTCTTCCAGCCTTCCCACCAGATTTTCGGGGAACCCCATGGTCTTGTTGCCACTGATGTGGGGCCGGCTTGATGTGTGTTGGAACTCTGCTCCCTGCCTTGCCCCTCTAGCCTCTCCCACTTTCCCTCTTTCAATCTTCCTTGAGCAGATACTCCAAGGTTTTGGGGCCACTACCCTCTTACAAAGAGGTCTGGGGGAGCAGTAAGGCTGATGGGCTCACATGTGTGCCTGTACTCATGTGCATACTTAAATGTTCCCTGCTAGGCAGGTATAATCCCCATGTGTGCCCCAGCGACATCCAGTTGGGGGCAGAAGAGAGCTCCTGGCCTTGGGAGCAGAGAGAGGGAGTGGGTCTGCATGGGATGTGGGATGAGATGGGATGCAGAATATGGGATGTGGGATGCAGGATGCGATGCAGGATGTAGAATGTGGGGTGGGATGGGACACAGGATGGGATGGGATGCAGGATGGGATATAATGCGGGATGGGGTGGGATGCAGAATGGAGGATGTGGGGTGGGATGGGATGCAGGATGGGATGGGATGCAGGGTAGGATGGGATAGGGACCATCAGAGCAGGATGGCAGAAAGGAGCTTCCCCCATTAGAGAGGACAGAGTCAGCCTCTCTGAGGCCCATGCAGGGAGAACAAAGGACCAACTGAGTCAAATCCCAGGGTTCCTGTCTTTGGGTTGCCAGAAAGCCTCTCACCTGGCTTCTCCTGGTCTCAAGCCCTGGGGCCCTCAAAGGGTAGAGTCTGCAGGAGATTCCAAGTCTCTCTGAGCCTCAGTTTTCCCCATTGCAAACCTCTCTATCTCAGGAACGAGGGGTAGAGCTCAGTGCTTGGCAAGTCAGTGCCCAGCAAACGTTGCCATGGTCTTGCCCAGCTGCAAGTCTTGGCTCTTGCGTCCCTTTGGGCCCTCGTGTGTCAGAGGATTCCCAGCTCCCACAGGCATCATATGTGAGCAGGTGTGGGGTGGAGAGTACAACACAGGGCACCCCTCCATGCAATTCTGTCAGAGCGGCTAGCAATTCTCCAGGGTAGCTTTTATAGATACAGAGATTCCTGAGTCTCAGCTCATAAAAATCCACATAAAAAATTAAGTTTCCCAAGAGGCACTGTCTCCAGATCCTGCTGTGGAATGAGTCAGAACTGAGCCTGAATTTTGCTCTTTCGAGTGGCGTGACATTGCAGCCACATTGGCCTTTCTGGATCTCAGTTTTGTCATCCGTGAAATGGGACTGGAAAGAGAGTCCTGTTCTTTAGGTGTGTCTGAAGCGAAGAGCTAAGTCTCTCTGCATGAGTCTGAGTACAGCTCGGCATAAAGAGGTCAGTGCACAGGCGCCTCATGGCCCACTGCGGCATTTGCTGCTTCTAGCGGGGCAGGGATGCAGGGACTGGAGTTCCAGCCCCCAAACTACATAGGCCCCTGAACAACATCCAGTGTGGCCCTGTGGCCCCACCATGTCTGGGCTGGAGCAGCTTCTCATTGCTGGGCTCCTGCACTCAACTTCCAGGTTAAACAGTTACTGCCGGGAGTGGCCCCTGTGTCCTCTGAGTGCTGCTTGGGATCCCCTCCCCCCAAAAGAGAAAAATAGGAGCCAGAGAGAACAGAACAGGAATTAAGGTGTGCCCTCCCCCCTCCATGAATTCCTGGCACCACAGATGATCTCTCAAGTACCACCAGGAGTGAGCCTGAGCACAGTCAGTAGTAAGCCCGAGCACAGTTGGATGTGGTCCCCAAGCTGAAAGGAAGGAGGGAATGGAAGGAGGAAAATAAAGGTCTGGAGGGAAAGAGGAGGTAGAGGGAAAAAGAAGGAAGGGAAGGGAAGGGGAGGGGAGGGAAGGGAAGGGAAGGGGAAAGGGTGGGAGGTGAGAGGAGGGAAGGGAGAGGGGAGGAGAAAGGAGAGAAGAAGGAGGAGAGGGCAGGAGAGAGGAGGAAAAAGGGAGGAGAAAGGAGGGAAGGAGATGGAAGGAGGGAGGGGGAGGAAAGGAGGGAAGGGAGGGGAGGAGAGAGGGAAGGGAGAAGGGAAGGGGGGAGAAGAGAGGTGGGAGGGGAGAGGGGAGGAGAGGAAGGGAAACAGGAGGGGAGAAATGAGAGGGGAGGAGAAAGGGAGGGGAGAAGGGAAGAGAGAGGAGGGAGGGGTGGAGACAGGAGGAAGAGAAGAGAGAGTGGGTAGTGGAGGGGTGGAGAGAAGAGGGCCGGGAGGAAAGAAGAGGGGAGGGGGCTGGGCCCCTCTGGCTGTCTTGTCCAGTGGGAGGGAACAGTAGGCATAGAAGGCTGCGGAATGCTCCTAATCATTAGTGCAGTGAGTGTGGGGACTCAGGCAGGTGCGGGAGAGCTGAGGAGGCCAGTGCGCAGGAGTGGAAGTGGGTGCAGATACCGGAATCCCTGGGCCAGGAGGCACTGCAGGGAGGGGGAGCTCAGCCCCATGGTGGCCGGGGCAACCAGGAAGGCTGCAGAGCTCCTGGCCTGCTGTGTCCATGCCTGATGTGGACGGAGCCCGCCAGGCTCTGCATCCTCTCTGCCTGCTGCCTTCCACAGGCTGACCCTTCTCTGCCTCAGTTTCTCTTGTGCAAACAGGGCCCAAGAAAGTCCCTGGCTTCCAGGGCTGGTGAGTGGGGTGTTGTGGTACAGAGAGGTTCATTGATTCACCCTCCTCCAGGAGCAGCTGCCAGTAGACCAGTTGGCTGGGAGGGCTCGGCTCCCAAAGGGGTCCCTGAGTGCCCACCACGGTTCAAATATGCTGTCCCCATAACACACACAGCGTTGGGCTGGGGCTTGTGGGAACGGCTCAGGGCCACTTGTCACTCCCCATGACGCAGCACTGGCCTCACACACGTGCTGATGTGCAGACAGCGTTTCTGCTCCCCTGGGCCTCACACAGGATCCTGCTAATGGTCAGGGGCCCCAGCCCTTCAGAGCTCAGACAAAGCCCACCTCTCCTCGGATCCCCTACCTCTGGACCCCGACTCACCCTTCCCCGCATCTCTCAAACGGACTTGTCTTTCTCTTCAGAATCTCCTGCCTCCAGATTTCCCCTTTTCCCCATCCTCCTCTTCCTTTCCCTCCTCTGCGCTCTCCTACCCTTCCCTCCTCTCGCCCTCTCCCACCTCCCTGCTCTGGGCAGGAATGGCATCTCAGAGAAGTGACAGACTTCCTACATCCCTGGGACCGGGGACCATCCTCTGTAACGGGGAAAAAGAATTGGAGAATGTCCTTGCCATGTGGTGAGGCGGTTGCCCCTGTGGCGCTCACCCCCTTCCTGTCAGGCAGGTGAAACGTCAGGGCAGTCAGGGCGGTGCCATGTGAGGGTTGTGGGCTCAGGGCTGTCTTGGTATGTCCCTGTTCCTGGTGTGTGGGGAGTGACCTCTCAGCATGCTACCAGCTTCTGGGGCTGCAGCAGAAAGCAGAGGCCCTTCCATCAGCGCGAGGACAATGGAGTCTTCACAGTATGAGCTGTCAATATGTTTGTGTGTGTATTTTTCTCAGCTGCAGCATCTCAGGCCATGAGGCCAAAGAGGTTAGCGGACATTGCAGAGGTGGCATCTTCAGATACCCCCACATCACGGTCACA